GGCTAACACCTGTAATAGTAGGTGATAGCATTACAATATTTGGGAGCTTTATTTGCTCACAACAATACATAATTTAGTTGTACACAATCTCATATGATTAAACATTGTTAAATTATCCATACAAAGAAATCCTTATCACTGTCTATTGAAATACGAGAATAGTATAAACAAAAATGAACAGGCGGTGCACCAGGAAGCAGGGTTGTAAACTGGAAGAAATGAACAATAATACACTTGTAGTGGTACTAAAGAGAATAAATTCACTAATAACAGTGTGATATATTTAAAAATAAATGGTATATTTTTCTTGCAATAAAATGCAAAGTAATTAAATAATTTTCCCTAAAAAATCTGGTGAAAAGTGTGGTAAAATTCTTATTGACTTACATGTTACACTGTTAATAATGTGAATTCAGTTTTTTAATAATCTATTTAATTTTGTTTTCTGTATCTGAATAAGTATGTTAATTTTCAATTTTTATCATGTCAGGAACAGAATTCAGTTTTAAAATCCACCCAAGCTTGTAGACAGGAAAGCAGATGTCATAGCAAGTGCAAAAACAAACATCTGTATATGTATATAAATCTATTACCAAAGAAAGTTATTGTTGGCAATAAATGAAGCTAAATGTGCATATAATGAAAATATGTAAATTGGTTAGTAATACAGCAATGTGACCTATAAATAAAATATAATACAGGCAGCCTTGACTTTTGCATTTAATTGGTCCCTGAAACTGGGTGCAAATGTTGAATGTCCAGTGTAGAAAAAAAAAGGTTTAGGAAAATATAAATTTAAAAAAAAATTAAAAACTGTTTAAAAATTATTTTTTCAAATATTTATTTATCAATAATGTTATTTTTATAACAGTTTGTAAAATTAAGTAAATGAGATGTGTCTGAGCATTTTCAGGTGTTTTCTTTATGAATTTGTCAAGGGTTGACTGAATACACTATTTTTTTATTTTCATCCTTTCTTTACTTCTACAACATGCTGTATCTTTCTCAATCGTCCTCCGTCCTTGAGGTATACATTCTCCGTTGGGGTTGCATACTTGCATGATAGTCAAATATTCATCAAAATGCATGAAGGCTTCACTCATATTTTTTATTTTTAAAGTGTTGATGATTTATCAGCTTCTTTCTCTTTCTGTGTATGTTTAATTTAACTCTTGTTGCTCAATTAAGATTTCATTTGATAGAGGCACTAAGTGAAATTCAGTGAACTCATTAAAATCTTCGTTGTTGACGCTCAAGTTTAGTTCATTCATTAGGCTATTTCATCTGTAATAATTTCCAAAGTTTCTTCAGAATTTATACCACCTTCCTTGAGAGCTGCCTTTATGGACTGATTTATTTTTATCCTCATGTAATATAGCTATCACTGTTTGATCCATCGTCTGTATGAGGCTTGTAGCATTGGGAGGAAGAAACACATTCATTTCCAGGTATAAATTCTGTAAAGATTTTGTGTGTCCTGGAGCATGGTTTAAGATTAATAATGTTTTAAACTGTAAATTTTTATCTTTACAATATTCCTTAACTACTGTCATGAAATGAAAAAGTAAACTAATCTTTAAATATTAATTCAGTTACCCAGGCTTTTTATTTGATTTCCTAATGACTGGAAGAAATTCTTTATCTTTCCCTTTCAGTGTTTTGGGATTTTCTGCTTGGTAAATTAACATTTGCTTCAGTTTTAAATCATAATTTTTGCAATAATAGCAAAAATGTTTTAAAAACTGAATTTTTAAAAATGTGTGAAATAGCAAATTGTGCAAAAGTAGAATGTATTAAAGTTGGGCCGCCTGCATTGTTAAATAAGTAAAAAAAGTCAATTTTTGCCAACTGATATTCTCTACCTTGGAAGAAATTAGCTAAACCTATTGAAAATACACCGTCTCAAATTCCACTTTAACTACAATACATAAAAACTTGCATAAAAGAAAAGGAAGAAATTACAAAAATGAATGTGTTATTTTTGAAATTTCACATGAACTATGAAATGTAAATCTGATAAACGTTCAATATTTTACTTCAAATCTGACAGTCAAAGAAAAAAGTGGGCTTTATTTCATCTATACATTCAGCGGAAATGAAAGAGAGTCACAATATTGACAGAACGACACGCCAAAAAATAACTAAACCAAATGCATTGATTGATTATAACAATTTATGAAAGGTGTAGACCGTGCAGATCAGTATTTGTCTTACTATTCAATACTACGAAAGGCGATTAAATGGACAAAACGAATAACAATATACATGATAAATTGTGCATTGTTCAATTCCTTCATTGTCTATAATTCAACAAAAGGCAAAAGTAAAATATAGGAAATTTTTATATGAAGTAGCTTTGCATTGGGTTACTGATTCGGTATGAACTGAAGATAACAATCAAGAGCCAGGATTATCCACTTTCAGGAAAAGGGTGCCTAAACAAGATCAACCAGGAAGATTGTTGATGGATATGAAAAAAACACATTCTAGAAAAAATTGTTGGAACTGGAAAGAAAAAATTTGCGCAAAGAACAATGTCTCATGTGTGCATCTCAAAAAGTGCGAAGTCAAACTTGTTTTATGTGGAAATTTGGTGACATACCTCTTCATAGGGATAAATGTTTTGACCGCTATCACACTATAAAACATTATTAGTGTTCATTATTTATTAAGTTATTTGTTTATTGAAAAATTTTGATAATAAATAATATTGACGAAAATTATAATTTTTTTTTTTGTACTTTCAACTGTATATTCTTTATTATTTATACAAAAAGTGCCTATCTTTCATAATAACAATGAAGAATACATTGAATAACAATGAAGAATACAATGAAGAATACATAAGTTGAGAAATGAGTTTCGTAAAAATATTCAAAGTAGTTTTCAATTTATAGTGATTTTACGTAACGACAAAATTCGTGAGGACGCCCATTCCTGTCATAACGCACCGACACAAAGAGCTCAACATTAATGTGTTAAATTCATAAAAATTACATTAAAATAATCTTGCTAGTAGCTATACCATTTTTTAAAACATAAAATATTTTGATGCAGCTCTTTATTTCTTTGAAATATTTGCCTTATTTATGCCTTTTTCTTCCATTAAATTTGTCTTATTTCTTGTACTGCCTTTAATTTGAGCACTTTTGCATTAAAGGCATGCTACTCTTACTCTGCAGATTTTTTTATTTGGCGTATTTCTTTGTTGCCAGGTTTTGCTAGTTTAGTTTGTCTAATGTCCTGATGATAACTGTCTTCATAACCATCACAAGCACAACCACGTTTTTCATCTAAGCATGATTTTTGTTCCTTTGATTTTTTTTTTTTTTCAATAATTTTGCACTTAAGAATTTGCCAAGAAACAAAAACAAAAAAAAAAAAAAAAAAAAAAAAAAAAAAAAAAATGCCCACTAATTTTCAAAATCCTGTAATCTACACAGCCCTTTGCTGAAAGGTGTCTGGGTATCAGGATATTATTGTATTAATTTCATTGTAGCTTTTCAATATGTCTTTAGACTTGCTTATAATTTTGGCAAAAAGTTAATGTATTTCTGAAAAGGTGTTTAATTTGAACATTTTAATGAAATAAAATGGATTTGTTTTGCTTATGTTTTTATATTATTTTTTTAATTGATCAAATGTAATCTGTAACAAATTCTTTTTAAAAGATTAAACTTGTTAAATCTTTTGTAGATCATTTTACTTTGTAACAATTGTATATTTTGAATTTCAGTAAATGTTTAGTATTTCGCATGGGTGGAACATCCTTAGATGTAACAGTTCTTCAAGTTTCAAATGGCATGTACACTGTCCTCTCAACAGTGCAAAAAAAGAATTTTGGAGGTCATCATATAACTGATGCTATTGTCAATTTCTGCTCTAGTGAATTTCAAAGGTAATTTTATTATTTCAGTATCCTTTATTTATTTTTTAACATGTGTACCTATCATAAATGCAACTTCAGTCATTGTAAATTTTCTCATCAGCGTTTTAATAAAATTTTATTATTTTGTTAAATAATTTAAAATGTGTATCTTTCAGGCAATATAAAGTAGATATAAAAGAAAATAAACGGTCTTTAATGAAATTACGTTCAGCTGCTGAACATTATAAACATGTTGTTCATAGTTCCATAAATGAGAGGTGCCAAGCGGAATCAGTATACGATGGAATAGACCTTAATATTAGTATAAGCAAGTAAGTGTAATTTTTTTCATTAAATGAAAAATAAAATAAATAGGTAGATTATAAACAATTTAAATATTCATGTTAATTTCTGCCTTAAAAAATTTTTAAGTGTTACACCAAAAAGTTTATCAAAATATACATAAAAAAAAATAAATATTATAATTTTGTAAATTTTGGTAAAATATTGTAATTTGAATAAATTATAAAGATTTATTTAATAAATATATGTATCATATTAACAATAATAACTCACTTTATTCTGTTGCACATTTAAAGTATTTACTGACAGCCTTAGTTTGTTAAAATTAGTTCAGGCACTTTCTTTGTTACCAGTTTATTTGAAGGTGCATTTTAATCATCCACACACCCACTGAAGAAAAGGCTAGAGTGATGAGGCAAGCATCATATTCCCCAAAAATATTTATGTTGCACATGTATGTATGTGTGTAGCACATGTGTATTCGAGTATAGGTGGATGGGCACTTTTGAAATCTAATTTTAATTTATCTGATTAGTATTTCCTTTCGCATTGGTTACATTTCTTTTTGTCATAATGAATTGTTATAAGATTATGGAATGTGGTATTTTGCCCAACAAGAGAGAAAGCAAAAATTCACATTCTTTAAAGCTGTACTTCTTAAAAAACCAAAATTTATGGAAAGGCAGTGTTTAAAATTGCAAGCGTAGTGTTAAAATGTGAGTTGGAAAAGCAGTGTATCATTTACTACAGCTGTTTACTTTTATTGTTTGGCAAAGGAATATATATAAGTGAAATTGGACACAGTTATTGACATGGTGGTAGAAGTAATATTAGTGCATTATGAGGAAAGCTTTTGGCTATGAGTCTGAACTAAATAGGATTATTAACCACTCCACAGAATATATCTATTGATTGCCAATTCCTACATATAGAGGTGGACTGGTAGTTTAAACCAAATTTGTAAATCTTAATTTAAAAGATTTTGCACAGCCTTTAAACATTGCATAGAGTTGAAGCTGTGTAAAGTTATACAAATATACATTATACATGGCTGTACAAATATACACTATATTAAGTTATACATTATATGCATGTGAACATGATTATGCAAATTACATTGTTATATAAGTACACTGTGCTCACTAAAAAAAGGGGGGTGGGACAGTTCTATATCTCTCGTTCTACTTGACGTATTGACAAAATTTAATTTGCATTTTAATTTTTCATGTCTCAAAAGCACAGCTTAAAATATATATTAGATGTATATGTAGCATTATTGTAACTTATTAGACACAAAATCGGATGTTTTCTGAAATGACATACCAATATTTTTCCATATTTCGATTCTACTACTCAAATTATGCTCAAATCTTTAATTTTGTAAAATTTGGTGAAAAACTTATGGAGAAATTTAAAAATTTATCTTCCATAATTTTTCATTTTGCGCCAAGAATATTCACTTGGCAAAATTCTTAATTTATAGTAACTTATTTTCCTTTCTCACTTTTTTTGTTGTGCGCAAGTGGGAAAAAAGGCACACTGTTTCTTTTTTTCAAGTAATTTTAACAAAGTTTTTAATCTTTCTTAGGTATGCATTAAACACATCTACTTTAAGGTGATGGTAAAAACTTTACAGATTATAATTCAAAATATTTTTTTTGAAAAGTATATAAAATTACTAAAAAATACAAATTTTAAAAACATATCAGAAAATAGCTGCAAATTTCATTTGCATTGAACCTAAATTTCAAACTGTAAAAGGAGGAATGAAGTAAGCTTAATTTAAAAAAGTTTAAGCGTAAATTTTTTAAAAACTATCGGTGTGATTTTTACAAAACTTGACAGTTTGTCACAATTTTAGTCATAGGATTGAAATATGGAAAAAAACTACTTGCCATTTCAGAAAAAGTCCAATTTTTATGTCAGAATACCTATGTTATAATAATGCTGTATATAAATCTAATATATATATGCACTTTTGAGACATAAAAAGTGAAAGCTATATTTTTGTCATTCAACCTCATAGAATGGAAGATTTGGATCTGCTCCCTCCTTTTTTTGTGCAAGGTATACATAGTTATACAAAACTGTAAAAGAACTTAATTGCTAATTAATGTGCAATTTTCTATTCTCAAATAATTTGCTGTATGACATGAGTTTAAGCACTAAATGCACTTTTTTACATTTATATATGTTAAACAAGCATGCACTATTTCTATTGAAAATACTTGAATATACTTATGCAGTAGCTTTTTACATGAATTCAAGAATGAATACAAGATTTCACAGATTAATTTATATTAAAAAATGCACACTGAGTTTATATTATGAGAATACAATAATGCAATGCAATAGAACTAATAATATCCAATAAGATTAACATTAACAGTATATTGTATCCATGAATGACACAGTTTACAATATGTATGCATTAATGCACTAGATTATGCAGCATAAGAGTATACTTGAAGTTACAATAAAAGTTTACACACACAAAAAAAAGCAACCTTTGTTGTTCTTAGTATGGAATATGTCCTGAATTTGTGGGTTAGCAAGACCATAATAAAATAATGCTTCATTTATACAGATAAGATTAATAATATTAAGAAATCTGAGTAACAAAATTTGCAGAATGAGAATATACTAATTTTGTGGCTTATGTAATACAAAATTATACAAATAAAATTAATTTGAAGCATATAATGCTGCTACCAAAATACAGTTAATAATATAAAAATATACGAGAGACACAGTTTATTATATGTTGCTTTGTGTTACAATAATATAATTGCAAAGTTTCTTGTAGCTATTGATAATTGTTTATAATATAAAAGTTGCTAAGACTGTGTATATTATTGAAAATACAGAAGTATACTAATACAATTTCTGGCAATGCAAAAGAATTAAAACATTTGCATGTGAATTCAATTTTCAGTTCCAGGCGTTTATGCTTTATGTAAAAAAATGCACTATACAGTCTGTGGAATAATATTAAGATAATAACAATGTCCAAACATGTTGAAAATTATACTTATTTGTTTTCAATCATACTGAAACACTTTTCACCGACTTCATCATTAATAAATTGTCTAAAGTGCATTAATTAAATACTGTTGAATTGTCGTGAGTTCAAATTATTTCAAATCATATAACAGGGTAATTACCTCAGAAATGTATGTCTCTTCTATCGAAATAGAAGAATGTTAAAAAAAGGTGACATTGGAAGTAGGTGCATGAATACTTACTTAAACAAATAGTTCCTTCTAAAATCAGCAGCGAGTTTATGAATTTGCAGTTGGGGCATCGATAATTAGAGAGTACAAATTTGAATAATGACATTTCTCCAGCATACTGTAACAAATAGATGAGTCTTCATTTAATTAATAAAAAATAATCATATTTTCAGCATGACTTAGTACTTAAAAAGGCTAAATTAATGTTAAAAATTATAATTGTGTAAAATGAGCGATATAATCATGAGTTATTTTACTCGAGTCATTGCACCGTTTTAATTTTTATTAATCAAAAGTTTAAATTCATTGAATGAGGAAATCATATATGAGTTTATCTGACATTTTTAAGCATAAAAGACAAAATGCAAATAGAATAAAATAATGTAAGGGATAGTAATGTTTCAGAGCAAGGACTAATGTGTAGCTTAAATTATTTACAAATTATGCCTTCTGTTATACTCTACTCTTCAAAGGATTCATTTTAACTCATTGTGGATGGCCACTACATAAATGCTGTCCACATAGTTATTTTGGCAGTAGTTCCTATCTCATTTACAAAAGGTTGAGTTAGACTAGAAGCTGATTTCTGATGTTAACTGGGTGTAGATGTTTTCAGACTAAAGTTTTCCTTTTGTGATTATATTATTCATAGTTTATAAACATTTTTGTCCATGAATATTAAATTTACTATATGTGGCTTCATCTAAAGGTTAGAGTCTCACAAGTGTAATGCTACATGTTATTGGCTCGGGAGCCTCTGAGCATAATATTGGAAAGAAGATGAATATTGAATACACAGTCAGGGGAGATAGATGGGAAACTGTGAAAAAACAAACTGTAACTATCAAGATGATTTTAATTTAATCAAGATGATTGGTTTGCTTAAATGCAGGATGCAGCAGCAGACACAATGGTTGGCTCACAATCATAGTCTATCTTGTGTTAGTCAGTCACATGAATTTGGCAAAAATGCCATGCTGTTCTTTTTCATTCTATTACACATATGAATTACTTGGGTTAGTACACAATTAAATAATGTGTTTTTAAAGTCTTCAGATTAGAGAACTAGGTCAATCAAAGCATGCCAAAACTGAATTCTGTTGAAATTTGGTAGTTTCAGAAAAGCAGCAATTTCTGCTTTCAGTAGCTCAGGAAGAAATTGTGAACAATAGATATGTTGGAGAATGTGCATGCAGAGGCTATTTGGAGATATTTAAGGAAACAGTACATAGCATGACAAATAGATTGCTAGCTTCTGCAAAGAAGTCCTTCAGAAACTAGCGCAAGAAATAGGAATGTGTTTGAAACCACATATCAGAGTTGCCAAAATTGATAAATTCATGCATATCTCTTTGTACCATGCAAGAATTTAAACCTAGCAGTAAAGTAAAGAAAATCATGTACTGTTGCTGGTGTTATAATTTTATTGTTATAAATTCTAGCATCCTAGGTAAAATATGGTTTGCTGATGAAGCATGGTTCTACCCCAATAGATGCACTAAACAGTTGTTTTGGGTGCATATTCACATGTATTTCATGGACTTCATGCAGAATCTGGGAATTGGTGTGCTGTTTCCTAAAGCTGCATATCCATAAAGATGGATCTTGCATAGGCCCCTCTTCTTCCACACAGTGGTGAATACCAACTTGCACAAAACTTTGTTTCTTTTATTGAGCAAGTAGAAGATGTGTAACTTACGTTTGGCTGTTTCCAAAAAGATAGGACAATGTATCACACTTTCTGAGAAAAATGTGGCTAAGTTATTTATTTATGTCTTGTTTATGCCATCTTAAAAGTTCTGGCCATCAGTATTACCTGATGTGTCACCTCATAATTTCTTATGTGGGTCATATTCCTGATTTCTTCTTTTGGATATATATGCTAGAGCAAACCATGGGCTTTCATGACACTGGAAGAAAATATTTGCTGCAGAGTTAAGTTTATGACTGCTGAAAAGTTGGTGCAAAGGTTTGATAGCATGAATACAGTGTTTAAGCATGTCAGCATGTGACTACTTTTACAGAGACTACTTTTATACCTTATGTAAAAATTAGTCGACTCAGACAGGTGAGTTAACTCATAATTTTAGTACCATATATTAATGTTTTACATTACAAATTGAGTGGAAAAAATGGTATACGCTGAAATTAGTTATTAATGAGATAGTTACTGTCTCAACTTTTCCTTGCAGCAAGAGATGCATAGTAATTTTAATAAGTGGTAAAATATAACCTATTTTTGGAATATTTTTAATACAAAAGAAACCATTATGCATTTCAATATTGATGATACAGGTATTTCTTTTTTCAGATTAAAAAAAAAAAAAAAAAAAAAAAAATTCCTGATGACTCGTACCTTAAAAACAAATTTTTTCTTTTTTTTTTTTTTTTTTTTTTTTTTTTTAATAAAAATTGTTGAATATTCATTCTTAAGCATAGTGCCTAAATATGAATATACTTGGTAGTCTTAAAACATTATGCAGTACTTTGAGCAGCTTAATTAATTAATTATGTGTTAAATGCTGTGCCTGATTTCTTCTTTTTGCTGTTGTTTTTTGTATTTAGAGCCAGATTTGACTCACTTATCCATAACACATTGCAACAGTGCTTAGATCCTATAAATGAAGCTTTAAATTGTGCTTCCCTTTCTGTTGCTAATATTAACAAGGTATGTGTTTGAGTATCTGTAAGAATCTATGTATCTAAATATATATATGTATATAAAGAGAGAGAGCTGTCTATGTAACTTCTATTACATTCTAATTATTATGCTTTTTATTTTACATAATTAATTATGCATTATGTTTTTGTTGACATTACTTCTTTGTTTTAACTACATTATGGTTCATAGTATTAATACTTTTATTAGTCATATATATTAGTAAAATACGAGGGCCATCCAGGAAGTAGATTACGTTTCCGTCTGTGTCCGCTAGGGGCGGGGCTAGCGCGGCCATCTTGGGGTCAGAGCGTTGCGCAGCTCAGTCTGCATCTAGCCGTGCTAGTGAGAGGTTCGTGCTGTGCTCCGTTCAGATACTGTGACGGTTTGAAATGTCTGCGTTAATTGAAAATCCCGTGAGCTGCGAGGTGCGCTCAGTAATAAGGTTTCTGACTGCAAAAAACTGTAAAACCGATAGAAATCTATCGGCAGCTTCGTGAAGTGTATGGGGTGAACATTATCACTGAAGTGGAGTGCGTCAGTGGGTCATAAAGATTTCAAAATGGCCGAACCAATGTTCACGACGAAGATGAAGTGGGAGAACCAGCATAGTGACCGCCGAACTTCTCGAAAAAGTCGATGCTAAAGTCCGTGTGAAAATCGAAATTTCACAATAACGGAACTTTCTTTGAGTTTTCCACAAATTTCGCGAAGTTTTGCCACGAATCATCAGCGAAAAGCTTGGTTACCACAAGTTTTGTGCAAGAGGGATTCCAAAAATCTTGACAGAGGACCCACAAAAATCAGCGAATGGCTGCAGCGTTGAACTTTTTGGACGCTTACCATAAGGATGGTGATCTTTACTCGATCGCATCGTACTGGTGACGAAACATGGGTGATGAAACATGTGAACTGTGAAACGAAATTGCAATCAATGCAGTGGGGGCACACAAGTTCTCCCCAAAAACCCAAGAAATGCATGCAAAACAATGTCGGCAAGGAAGATGATGGCGACTGTTTTTTGGGACAGAAAAGGTGTGTATTTTTGGTGGACTTCCTGGGAAAGAGGCACTACAATAAACTCTCAAAGGTATGCCAAACTCTCCAAAAACTCAGAAGAGCAATTCAAAACAAGCGCAGAGGAATGTTGAGCTCTAAGATCTTGTGATTCGACAACGCCCGGCCCCACCCGGCAAATGTCACTCGTAAAGTTCTTGAATCTTTAAGTGGGAGTTGTTTCCTCATCGCCGTACAGTCCCGACCTGGCACCGAGCGACTTCCACCTATTCCAGCATGAAGAAGTGGCTGGCTATGCAGCGTTTTGATGACGACGCCCAGCTGCAGAAGAGGGTACGAAGTGGTTGAAGGCGCAGGGGCCGAATTTTTCGACGAAGGAATTTCCAAGCTCGTACATCGCTACGATAAATGCCTTAATGTATGGTGACTATGTAGAAAAGTAGTATTTGAGGTGGCTTTCATCTGTATATAATAAAATTTGTTTCCTATACTTTGTTATTTTTTTATTCCAAAACGTAATCTACTTTCTGGATAGCCCTCGTATATATGACATAAAATATATTGAAATTTTATATATATTAATAAACTTTTATTAGTCATATTTATTAGTAAAATATAGTCTCTATTAATTCCATTTGGCTCTTTTACATAAATTTCTGATTCAAAATCATGAAATACTCAACTCTTTTCAACATTTTTTTTTCCCCTCCATTGGGTTTAAATAACATGGTGTTACTTCCTTTTCATTTTCTAATGCTTTAGTTTCAAAAGATTTAATTTTTACTTTCTCCAGTATTGAAAAAAGTGACATGATCAGCTAAACTTTCTTCATGTTTGAAAATTTTCTTTCAATTTCTATATCACACAATGCCAGTGTTACTTGTTTTGTTTTCACAGAGTTATTCTTGGCTTTGCACTTCATTGCTTGCTGTGGTGATATTGAGTAACTATTAGTTTTCCTGTTCATATTAAAGTATTGCTGCTGAATGAGATTATAGACCAAACTTTATTATTAGTAACTATTTTACAATTTAAATACCCAATATCTGAGACTCAAGAAACACTGTGAAAGTAAATGATTGCAGAAGACTGTGATGAGAATTATGGGTATCAACATTGCTATCTGTACCCCTGTGTGACTTAGAAATGTTATCATAATAATTAATTGAAATTTTAAGCATCATGCATCAGTATTTTAAAAAAGGGATATTATTAATGATTAAAAATTTTAGAAAGAGGATTAATTTGAGACTGTTATTAATTTATAAATTACTTTATAAATCAGATAGGCAGTCTGTCTTCATATTCCTGCATTATCCATGTTAATATTAATTTCTTAAAAATTGTGGGCGTGCATCTGTTCTCACAGGTGACATTCCAGTTTCTGTTGATACCATTACTATTAACAGTCTCACATACTCTCTTTCAATAAATGAGTGGCATAAATTGATTGTTTTTATACATTGGGGTGGGACTAACTAAAATTTTTATATATTGATTGGTATTTTGAGCATTTTAGTGATCATTAACTGAGCATAATTGTATTGTTATACCTCCTAATGATCATTCTAATTTTTTCTGATTCTGGAAACCAATATTTATATTAATTTTTCAAGTGTTATGTTTTTAGTATTGGGTTCTGTGAGATTTTGATGATAAATACAAATGAAGATTACAAAAACATAATAAAATTTCATTGAATCACATAAGCACCATTTTGTTTTATGATTGTTTGCCATTTCACAGACAGCTGGAAAATTTCCTTTTTGGGGAAAGCTATTAGGTTTATTCGTAAAGAGCTTATCAAGATAATATTTGACAACCTCCAGAGAATTGGACTCTGGACTGAAGAGATGAAAATCTGAAGTGGCAAGGTCTAGTGAACATGAGGAATAACATGAGGAACAAAACATCTCATCTTACTCAATAAATCTTTCTTTGACATTCATATATGAATATGGGGCTGAGAATTGCATCATTGAAGATAACTCTTTGACTGTTTGTAAAGTTTTGGGTGCTTTGCTTTGATTTCTGTTTTTAAACTGCCATTTGGGAACTGTATTTTTCTGAATTTGTCTCATTTGGTGGCACCAAGTCATAGTGTATAAGTCCTTTGCAGTTCCTTCATGCACAAAGCATTACATTTTTCAGATGCATATCTCCTCCTCTTGATGTTACTAAAGGAAGTTCTTTTGGCTCACTCCATGATCTTTTTCTTGTAACATTGTATAATATTCACTACCCATCTCCAATAACAAGCTGTTTTAAAGAAGCTTTTTATTTCACAAAATGTTACATCTATGTAGCATGAATGCACATGGCAATGATAGATTGTGCTGCAAGTTTAACACTAACTTCACTGCATTTTCAGTTTTACGTCTAACTATAGTGTGCAATCATTTTGACAATGAACTAGTTAATGAAAAAAGTATAGCGTTTTAAAATTTTTTTAATGAAATGTATTATAATGTAGTTCATTTAAATTTTTTGGGGTACAAATTTAGAAATATTTTTTTTTAATTTAATTAATTTTTTGTTTTAATGAATTAATGGAAACAATTTCTGTTTTGTTTCCAATTTAAATCATGAATATTATTCTCATACCCTGCAAAAAGTTTTTCCATTATAGATATTCATAAAAAATATATTGTTTCTTATCTTTTAATATAAAATACAAGCATAAAGAGTACTAAAAGGAAATTAATTTAGTAATTCTTGCTTTGTAAAACTCCCATACATATTTACAGTTTTATTTTTCATTTATTGGTTAATTTGACACTGGTGACAAATGTCTGCATTGCCAGTAATCTCCATATAGATACAGGGAAGATATTTCTTACACAAGGAATCTCAACTAGAGTGAGAATACCCTCCTAGAAAAGTTTTCATGGGGGAGTGCATATAATCTTTTATTTATATGTTAAGGATTTAATTTTGGTTTATAAATACACTTGTGCTAAAAAAATAAGCAACAGACAGTATTTTAAAAAGGGATATTATTAACGATGATTAATGGATTTCATTAATGGATATTTAATGAAAAGTTACAAATGTATAAAGGGAAATTAAAACATACAATTTACATATGAGGCAGATGTAGCATCATCAAATGCAAATAGACAACCAAAATTAACACAATCTGCTGCTGCAGGATGGTCCATATCCTGCTAAACTGTATCACATCGACTGTATGAAGGTGGACTGTATGCCCAATGACATGTGGTTTGTGTTCCTTTGTCCCCATCATATGTCAGAATGCAGTTGAATTGGCCTGTGAACATTTCAGTTCAACACCAGAGCAGTGGGACCACATACTCTTTACAGATAAGGATTGATTTAACTTCCAGAATGGTTCTTGAAGGGAAATAATATGGTGAGAGCCAGAGATATGCTATCGGGCTAAACATTGTCAAAAGAGACCGTTACAGAGGAGAAGTCTTACTTGTATGGCCTGGGCTAGCAATGAATGGGTACACCAACCTCTATGTAATTCCTGGTGATTAATTCACAACTGTCCAATAGCTTCACAAAATTCTACAGCCTCTTATGTGTCCTTTTATTGCTACAGTGGATCCAATGCAATATGTATGGACGATAATGACTGCCTGCATAGAGCTCAAATGGTACAGAGTTATCTGGAGAGTGGAACCATTCCACATCTGCCATGGCCTAGTAGATCACTGGACCTGAATCCCATGAAGCATGTATAAAATAAAAATGTGGGATATATTAGGTTGCTACAGGTTGCAGTGTGCTGCCAGACACTCTCCACAAACTCCAACATGCATTAATACAGGAATGGGTGCTACTGCCACAACAAGAAATCAATGACTGTATTGCCATCTTGCCTTAGCATTATCCAGTATACATTTCAGCTGGAAGGTGTCACACCCCTTATTAGCATGATATTTTCCGTAACACATTCTTCTGACCCATTTGGTCTTTCGCGATGTGTTCACGATACATGTGTTTTTGTATGCCTTTGCTTTATTGTTTGTGCTGTGATCTAGTGATGCCAACACCAACCTTTTGGATCAGTTTCACACATATTCACTAAATAGTTTTAGTTTTATTCCTTGTTTTGCCTTTGCTTATTTTTTTGACCAGGTGTGTTTAAAAAAAACTAGTTTTTTTAAAGTTTTGGTATTTATCAACATAATGAACAGCGAATCGACATAGAGTTTCTTGTGAAATTTAAGAAATCAGCCAGAGAAACATTTCAAATGTTAACCGAGGCTTATGAAATGAAACTTTGTCTCATGCATGTGTGTTTGAATGGCATAAGCTGTTTTCAGGGGGAACGGACAATGTGGAAGATGACAAACATATTGCGTGCCCAAGGTCAGTGATTACAGACCAAAACATTGCCAAAGTTTGCAATATGATCCAGGGTGACCGAAGATTATGTGTTTGTGCAGTGCCAGTATTGGTTGACTTGGATAGGAAAGCTGTTCGACACATATTAACTGATGAATTTCACACGAGGCAGATTTGTGCAAAGGTTGTTCTAAAAGCTCTGTCCAATGACCAAAAACAGTGCCGTAAAGACATGTGTGGACATGTTAGAATGCATTGCAAACAAGTCAGATTTGTTGGAATCTGTTGTAACGTGATGAGACATGGATTTTTACCTATGACCCAGAAAGTAAGCTCCAGTCTATACAGTGGAATTTTTCAGGATTTCCAAGACCCAAACAAGCATGCATGTCAAAATCAAAATTCAAGGCAATGTTAATTGTCTTCTTCGACATTAATGAAATTGTAATGATTGAGTGGGTTTCCAGTGGTCGGATTGTTAATCAATATTGTGGCACTCAAGTACTAAAAATGTACTTTGTGAAAAAATTGGGGGAAATAAAAAGGCCACAGTTGTGGAGTGATAGATGGCTGTTGAACCAGGGCAAAGCACCTGCTCACACAACCCTATCTGTCAAGTAGTTTCTGACAGCAAAAAAATTACTGATGAGGCATTCTCCTTATTCACCTGATTTGGCTCAATGTGATTTTTTTATATTTCCTAAAGTTAAATCTTGCTTAAAGGGAACCCATTTTACCTCAGCTGAAAAGGTCCAGGCAAAAACGGAGAATTTCCCTAAAGGCCTTCCAAAAACCGTGTTTCAGAACTGTTACCAGCAATAACAGCACCGAATGCTGAATAGGACTATTTTGAAGGTGATAATATCAAAGAGAACTGATTCTGTGAGTACAATGAGTTATTGGACAAGTCTTTTTTTTTTTTTTTTTTTTTTTTTTTTTTTTTTGGTGTGTGTGTGTGTATGTCACACCTTGTATGCTGAATAAAGTAACATCTTGCCTTTGTAAAAACACAATAAACAATTCTCGATAATGATATTCTATTCAGACACTACTATGGTATGCCCACCTTAGCCTTATCTCAGAAGCATACATCTCTTGTTTCTTAGCCTACATCTCTGAAAATGAGAGCAAATGGATCAATTTGTAATCTTGAAGATCTAGTTAACTAGTTCCTGTCACTTACTTTTCTGTTAGCAAAAGTAGTTATCCCTCCTAGTCCAAAATATTTTGAAGAGAAAATTCACCAAATGAATTTTGTTCAAATAAATTCCTTTCTTCAGACCGTACAATCTTTTGCTCTTTCATTATCTTTTGAATGATTTTCTTCATTTTCAAAATCCTTATGGACTGTTGCTTGCTCTGCAAATTTGTTGTCTTTTTGGACCGTAATTACTGCCTCATCTTTGACAAAATTCTCATTCAAGGCTAAATCCTTAACTTCCACTACTTCATTTTATTGGAATTTTATTTTTGAAATTGATATAGTATGGAAATGATGAAGGAGTGATTTGCTCTTCTTTGGAACCAGATGGTGAAGTGTTATGCCATTTTCCCTTTAAAGGACTAATAGGCCCTCATTTGATGAATTGGATTCATTTGTTGTAATTAAATTAATCCAGTCCTGAAATAGAGTAAATTTTTGTATTAGATTCCTTATTAGAACTAATTTCTTAATCAAAACTGTCATCAGAAAATTCTTGTAAAACTTTTACTTTTCTCCCTTCTGACAGAAATTTTCATCCAACAATTCCATGCAGTATGATTAATAGAGAAAATATTACAGATTAGAAAGAGTAGTCAGAAGCCACAAATAACTGCAAGCAAAAGGAAGACTGTATGACACAGAACAAAGAACTTGCTAAAACATTCAGACAGACAAGAAACATAACACTCATTTGGGACATTATCACTTTGGGAGGGCGGCTCATTTCTATTCCAGCCATTTGTGGAATATCATGTGGCAATGAAAATAAATAAGAAACTTGAACAAATACCCTGAAGACACTGCTATGGTATGCCCGCCTTAGCCTTATGCTTAACTGGGAAGGAGAATAATCAAAATGACTATTGATTATAATTTTAGGTATACAGAGTTATATTAAAAAAATAATCATTTAAAAAGAGCAAATAAATTATTTTGCTATCTTGGCATATATTTAGGAAAAGTATTTAAAGAATAAATTTTAAAAATTTGAGCAGTTTAATGTCATTTGCAGTCAAAATGTCCACATACTTAATTCTTGTTTTAAAGACTGTAATATGCATCCATTTCAATAGAGTAAAAAATTTTTATATGAATCAAAGCTGATATGATAACTGTATATATGAAATAGTATAAGGAACTAAGTTTAATGCATATTTCAGTATTAAATTGCAAATTGGAAAATCTGTTTATATGGAACATTAGAAATTTTAATATGTAATAAAAATTTTCTTTGAAAAATGTAAATTCTAAATGTTATCATTTACATTATTTCTGATATAAACTTGTTTTCCTTTCTTGCAGGTAATCCTTGCAGGAGGTTCATGTAAAATTCCGAAATTGCAACAACTAATTTCAAATACTTTTTATTCTGCCAATGTATTATCTAGTATTAATCCTGATGAAGTCATAGCTGTTGGAGCTGCAAAACAAGTAAGAAATTTTTTTAAAAAAAATTTATTGGAAGATTAGGGTTGAAACAAATATTTTGAAATAAGTTATGGGTTTTTAAGTTTATTTTGTCAACAGAAGTGCAGAAAAGTTTTTTTTATGCTAATTTAACTTTCGAAGATTAAGGAACAAAGCAATCTGCAACATTAACTGAATTAGATAATTTTAGCTTAGCTTATACCATCCGTTATACATTAAACGCGCATGCGCACGCGTAAACGCCTATGCGCATGCAGCAACGCGACGCATGCGCAGAAAGTTTGTAGCTTTGAGGTCCGGATTATAAATCATTCCGGATTATGGGTGTCCGAATTAACGACTTTTGACTGTATATATATTTTAGAAATAATACCATAAATGGAGAACATGTAACTTGATATCATAGCAGCATTTCTAATGCATGCATGCAAAATTAAGGGGGGTAAGCTATTTTTGTTGTTATTTCAGTTAGTAATTATTGAATTTTTAGTCTCATTATTTTTTTAAAATTAATCATTTCTTTTTCTTCTCCACATGAATTCAACCAGCTGCAGAATACATATAGTTATTTAAATTTGGTGTAATGATAAAAAGTAAAATTCCTGGTAACAACGTGTGTGTGATGTTTATTATTTAACTATTTTGTGTGGAGAATGATGGAAGTAATTGCAATGCCAAATAGTGACTTAAGCAATAGTCGGTTACTTATTGCTCACACGTGGCTAAAGTACCCATTATTTTTAAGGCAGGCAACTGTTGAATGTTTTATTGATACAGATGACCTAATTTAAATGCATATAAATTTAGCAAAATATTCATATATTACAGGCTTTGGAGTCCATTTAATATGTTTATAAACTATTCTAATTTATTAATGTATATATTAATTTTGAATTTATTTATTTTAGGCAACGTTGGTTAGTCATAGTATTGAGGATGAAAACTGCTTTATCAATCTACTTTCTCAAGATCTTTCAATCAAGGTAGTTAATATGTTGGAAATTTGAAAGCTTGGTTTTAGAATGAAATTTTGTTGCATTTTAGTGTACCTTATCAAAACTAAATGCCTTGTTAGATTTATTTTATGCTTATTAATTCAGTAGTGTGCAAGTTTTGTTTTTAGAATTAAAATCGGTGTTCCAGGGTTGCCTGAGCATCTAGCCTCACAGAAAAACTTTCAAGTTAAAAAATTTTAAATATATTCTGTTTAGAAGGGAAAATATGTCATTTTAAGCAGTAATAAATTAAGTAATTAATTAACAAACTGTATTCTTTTATAGTTTTATTTTTCTTACAGCTGCACAGTGCTTGGCAAATTATCATAAATATTTTGTGTGTAAGTGATCTGCAATCAGCTGGCCCTTGGAAACTTGAAGTACCTATGGAATTTCATAAAAATCAGTGTAAGCCAAGCACTAGCACAGTTTAGAAATATTACTCCCAATATCTAGTTATAATGCTTGAAATGAAAGAAAATCAATTTTAAAAAGATGTAATAGATTATTGTGAGGCTGTATTTTATATAGGATTAATGTAAGCAAAAAAATAATCCATGAATATCAGATTGAGAATCCAAAAATGTTGAAATACCAAAGTTTTTAAATTTATGCAAAAAAAAGAACATATTAGTCAAAATTCATTTTCGGATGAAATAAGTCATCTTGCATAATTGTGTAAAACATTACTGCCCCACGTGAATTGCCTTGCTCTCCGTGCTCATAACTACAGGGTCTTTCATATTAAATGGGACAAAAAGAATAGCATAGTACAAGTTCTGTAACTAAGCCAAAATAAATTAATTCTGAAAATACAATTTTACAAGTTTAATCTGGCAAGAGCAAAAAGTTCTTCGGTAACAAAATTACCGCTGTAGGCACTGGTAATCAAAATGGCACTATCCATGCAGGTGAAAGCATACTGTGTTTTCAAATATGCCAAAACATCATTGATGATCATCGTTCAAAGACCATTTTCATGTGAAATGTGGAAAAGAACCACTGCATCATCGCGGCATTGAATGGTGAGTGAAGCAGTTTCAGGACAGGCTGCTTGTGTAAGAAAACCAGCTCAGGATGAACAGCAGCCAAAACTGAAGTGGTTAACAAATTAGTGAAATAGTTTTACAAAGTCTCACAAAAACAGAGTATTGAGTGAGTTTTGAACTCAGTGTGCCTCATTTAACAGTGTAGCATGCATGTGTTACTGAAATGTCTACAGTTCCAACCATACACCTTTCAGATAGTGCAGGCATTAAAACTTTCTGATAAACTGCTGCATAAAGCTTTTTGTGAAAATTTGATGATAAGCTTGAGGTAGCAAATATACTTGTGTTTCCAGATGAAGCCACTTTTCACCTTTCTGACAAAGTTAATCACTGTAATTTATGATTTGGGGGCATGGAAAATCCATGATAGAATGAACACGAACATGATTTTCCAATGGTGAATGTTTTCTGGGCCATTTCTAACAGTTATGTTTTTGGTCTTTTTTTCTTCTTGGAAAAATTGATTATCGAGTTCATTTACCAAGATATACTATCCAAGTGGTTGTTTCCTCAGTTGGAAGAAGTGGTTCCCAGCTTCATTTTCAGTAAGACAGTGCTCCACCACATTGGCATAAAAACATATGTCAGTACCTGAATGAAGTCTCCCCATCATTCAATTGGCCATGCTGGGTCAGATGATACACCATTGCTTTGTTGGCCACTGAGATCCCCAGATCTAACCTCTTATGATTTTTTCCTTTGGAGTTTTGCTAAAGACAATGTTTTCATGCCTGCATTTCCCCAGAACTTACAGCAACTGAAACTGTGGATAACTGAAGTGCTTGAATCATTAGCAAAAGATCTTGTAACATGAGTTTGGCAGGAACTGGAATACAGCATAGATGTTTACTGTGTCACCGGAGAGGCACACATGGAATGTCTATAGAAACTTGGATAGCTATGGTTTCACTGTAAACTTGATTTATCAAAATAAAGTAATTGCAGCATTCACATGTATGCTTGCTTTTTGTCTCATTCAATGTAAAACACCCAGTATTTGTGATTATTTGCCCTTTTTTAAGGTTGATAAGATAGGATCATTAGATAATCTTTTTGTTGGTTTAATCTAATCCACATAGATTGATCATATTCACATAGATTGGAATACATTTACATATGTTTGATAACGTTTGCTATATTATCCAATTTTAATACTCATAAATTTGCTGTATTGTTGTTTTTAGATCACAGGTATTTCTGATCGCCCAGATTATCTTTTACTATGTAGTAAAGGAACAACAATACCAACAATTATCACTGAGACTTTTAGAGTAACTGAAGATACTGAAAGTATAAAAGTTGAAATCCTAGAAGGTAATCTTTCTGTAAAAGATGATGAAGCAACATCTTTAATAGCTGTGGTAAGTATATTATCACAAAATTCTGCAAGACTAATTATCTGGAGGGCTGAAAAAATGATTTAAATGGGATTTTCATTAACCATCATGAATTAAAGGCATTAAATTAGGGAAACTAATACATCAGAATCAAAATTTGAATTTTTTGTTTTGAAATTCTGTAAACATTTATTAAAGAGTATTGCTTTTTATAATTTATAGAAATAAATACTGTAGTTAAAAAACTGCAGATAAGAGGATGTGTGCAAAAAGTATATTAAATTTTTAACTAATATTTACAAATTTCTATATACTACATTTCTTGTTAATGTTATATTAACATCAGAAAATATATTCCATTCTTCTAAACTGTATCTTGTTTCTTTACGCTGTGATATAATTTATTAAACTATTAAGAATGCATACTTTCTCATTTATTTCTTATCAAAATTTCTAATTGTAGCTATTTATACAGATGTTTTACTAGTTTATTATAAATAGCTTCTAGGGATTCTTTCTTAGAACAAAATGGGAGGTAATTTCATTCAAAGATATTACTAATTTAGGTGTAGATTATTTCATTCAAAGATATTACTAATTTTGAGTAGATTATATGCCAAACTCTTTCTGTATCAACTTTTATCCAAAATTGTTGCTGGCACTGAATATACTGTTGTTAGTAAGTAGTTCTTTCACTATTATCTGTCTCTAAGGTTTGTTATATCACTATAAGCAGTAATGTAAGTGGAAGGTTCGAAAAGATACAGTATAGCATTATCCTATGTACTCCTATGTAGCAGTTATTGCTTCGGCTATCTGGTTTTAATCTTTCTCAGTTTGTAATGGAACTATCACATACAATGATGCATGGTGCTTAATGCATGGTGGGAAGAAGCTTTCTGAGAAACATTTTTTTCAGCATTAGTTGTTTGAACACGAGGTTTCTAGTTGAAACAGTTCTGCTCAGTGCATTGTGGGTATATTCCCAGGACATTTTATTTGGCAAAGAGGGGATGCTTCCCTTGCAGCTATATCTCACATAAGAAAGGAAGGAGAAAATATACTTCTGGGAGCCTTTTCGTAGGTCATCAGATTTCCTGGAAGCAAAGATTTCTGGAATTGTTTTCTTATTTATTTATTAGTCCAAAGGAGCTTTGTCCCTGAAAGATTATTGTTTTCGTTTTGGCATTTTGCTTCGAATCACTATAAATGGCGTATGACTTTTCAAATTGTTCCCACCAAATACTATCATCCTGTATTATATTTGAAGAAATTAAATAATGAAGAATCTGCACAAATGTATGTATGTTTCTTGCATTGTGATAAAATGATGGTACCTAGAGCCATCCGATTTTGAATCACGTAATCCTACTACAAATATGGGCGGGCATCTGAAAGTCCAAATTTGGAATTAGTTTTATTATTGATTGCGTATTTTGTAAAACTTTAACAAATTTTTGATTAACAAACTCAACGATTTAAAAGCAATGGCAACACTTCTATGGGAGGGGGAATTATTTATCTCCAGCACGCGGAATTGTGTATTGGAAATTTTAAAGATATGCTCATTTTAAAATTATTTTGTGACATTGCTGTTGAACTGAATTTTATGTTTTAAGTGCAAAGAACATGATATTTCATAAATAAAGGCAACACACAAAATTTTAGGTAAAAAAAAAAAACACCCTTTGGGATGTAATTTAAAATCTGAAACAATTCAGATTTATTTATTTATGCTTAGTTGACAGTAGCTATGAGGTCTGACAATGGTTTAAAAGTAAAGTCATTATCTTTAGGCATTATTATTCACAAGTGACTATCCTCAGTTCTGAGTAACTGTACCAATCATTTTACAGAATTGCCAACTCTCCCGATTTAGGCGGGAGACTCCCGATTTTCGACCGCTCTCCCGCCAACCCGATTTACAATACAGTCAAAAGTCGTTAATCCAGACTCGTCGGGACTTCGGCGATTCCGGATTATCGATTTTTCCGGATTATAGATCATCAGTTTAAATCTGGTAAGATGGCATGCAGAAATTATAAAATTAAAAATATGAAACCGTAATTTATGAAATAAAGAACAATTATGATCTAAAGGGTATCAAAATTTACAAAAAAAAAAAAAAAAAAAGCTTAATATTTATTTGTTTACTTTATTAAACATTTCTTTTAATGTAAGTTGTTTAAGTTGCTTCATTTTTTATGTGATAATACATTCTCTTTAATTCTTTAAACAGACATAATTTCTTGTTCAGTTACAAAGTTCTGCTGTTCAAGTCCTATAATTGCTGTGTAGAGAATACCGACTAATTTGTCAATTGAAATTTTTTCGTTTTCAATAACCTCTGTCACTTTCTTCGCTATCGGAAGCGAATTATAATGACGAGGAATTTGATTTAAATCATATCAAAGGTGGAGTACATCGAGAGGAAATACTACATTTAATAAGGAATTATAAGCCAAATAAAATAAAAACATCTGCCCTGAAGATAAGGATAGTGCTGACAGATCAACTTCCAATTCATTGCACGGCGTTAAAGATAAACAAAGTTTAGATAAACAAACGTTAAAGTTTAGATAAACAAAGGATATGCCTTTATCCATTTTTTGTAGCAATTCCATCCGCTTTTTGTTTAATGGACTTCGAAACATACTTTCGCTTTGTAGATCATTTACATATTAATAAATATATATCAGAAATTCTATTTGACATAATCGAAAGTTCAAGCTTACTTTTATAAAATTGCTCTAACAGTCTGCAAAAAATAATAAGCCAGATCCAAATTGAAGATTAAGGAACAACGCAATCTGCAACATTAACTGAAATAGATAATTAAATAATTTTAGCTTAGCTTATACCGTCCGTTATACATTAAATGCGCACTCGTAAACGTATTTTGCGCACAAGCATATTCTCAGCCGTAAAGGCCTTGCGCGCATGCGCAAAAAGTTTGAAGCTTTGAGGCCGGATTGTAGATCATTCGGGATTATGTGTGTCCGAATTAACGACTTTTGACTGTAACCTTGCGAATTAGATAACTTTTGCTTTGTGAGTGAGAGCATATACATATCCAGAAACGTCCTTCTCTAGTTCTCTAATGGGTATCGAGCTCCACTGCGTGTCATGCTATACTATTAGCCAATGAGGACAAAGCAAGCTGTTATTTGGATGTTCTTTAGTTATTTCGTTCATTTTGTTCCGAGTTGTGTGAGTACAAATGCCTTCGGGAAATAGTTTTCGAAATTATCATCTTTTGTTATGTCTGTGAGAAAGGTGATATACTCATGTATATTTCAAAAATAGTACACAGTTGACTTTCCTTCCATTATTTCCTCAAGGAAATGTAATAAATTTGCGATGTGTACCGCCTGTCGTTACGATTTTTCGATTTCGCATGGTGGAGGGGTGGATGTTCTCAAACATGTGCGTACACAAAGACAACATGAGTTTTTTGAAGAAAAAAAAAAAAAAAAAAAAAAAAAAAAAAAACTGAAAATTAAATTTTTCTTCGAAAACAGAGGACCAAAAAGTTATTAATGCAGAATGTCTGTTCTCTGCCTTTTTACGTGAGTACAACCTGCCACTGAATGCATAGGATCACGCTGCAGCTGTACTTAGAAAAATGTTTCCCGATAGTGAAATCACTAAGAAATACTCAAGTGTATGAACCAAAACAGGTGCAATTGTTAAAGAAATGGGTTTGAAAAATAAATCTTCAGTTATTGATTGCATTAAAACAACTCCATTCTGCCTCTTTGCGGATGGAAGCAATAATACCGATTCAAAACTGTATCCAATTGTTGTTTCTTTTTTTAATCCAGAGTCTTCAGAAATTGAGTGCAGTTTATTTTCTGTCCCCACTTTAGAAGGACATTTGACAGGCTTTAATATAGCACAGCTAATTATTAAAACTTGATAATGCACCAGTATTGGTAGGTTTAAAGACTAGTGTTGCAGGCATCTTAAGAAAGGAAAATTGAGATTTGCAGATTATGAGGTTGTACCTGTCACCTCTTAGATTTAGCAGCTGAAAAAGGGGTAGCTTTACCAATAAATGTGGATGAACACATTGTTGATATTTATTATTATCTTGAAAGGAGTTCTAAAAGGAAGGAAGAATTGAAACAGTTTCAAAAGCTGCATAACAGCAGTTTACAATTAGAAAACTTGGATGTTATAAAATCAGCTAGGATTGACACTCAGGGAGTTTAATTGGAAAACTGAAAGGTCCTGATGGAATTTTAAAATATAGTGAACTGTCTAGAATTATGTTGGCCATCTTGACAGTTCCCTATAGTAATGCGGAGTGTGAGAGAATTTTCAGTGTTGTTGTGAAAATGAGGACTAAATTTAGATCTAATATTAACGATGACACATTAGAAAAACTTTTATTAGTGAAAGCAGGCCTACGTGGCAATTGCTTTGAACAAAATTATGAAGTTTCTTTCTTAAAGAAAGCAAAATCTGCAGCTGTTTATAACATTTGTACGAAAACTGATTAAAGTGTCTTTTTGTTTGTTTGTTTTGTTTTCTTAAACGATGCAAGTAATAAAAATGTTTTTTATGTGTAAGGTATTTTTGTGTTGCTTGCATTTAAGGATTAGTTACTATTTAAAGTTAATTCATTATTAAAAACTATATTTTTGTCATTTAAAAAGTATTTTTAACATTGAGAAAAATCTCCTGATTTCTTAAAAAAATCTGATTTTTGAGTGTCAAAGGTTGGCAAGTATGATTTTAAAAGCTGTCCCTATCCATGATAAAATACTAATAACAATTTCATACTTGTTGCCCATACTTCTCAGACTTCATTATTCTTCCAGTTATTCAGTTTATGTTAAGTCATCCAGACATTTCTAAGTGGTCATTTTACTGCCTGCATTATGTGAAATTTGTTAAATATCAATAATGATCTCACTAACTTTTATGAAATTTGTAGAGAATTTCTTAACTTTATCATTTATGCTAGATAGCATTTTCTTTGCTTGTCTCAGTTCCAAAATTTGTCAGCTTTTTGATGACATGCGATTATGTAAATTCTCATAGGCTTTTTAATTTAATTTAATTTTGAATTTTGAGATTGTATCTTTTAATATTCCTTAATTTTTGCATGCTAGTGTAATTCAGAGTATGCATCCCCCCCAAAAAAAAATTATAAAGAAACCTTTAAGTTGGAAATAAAAAAATTCTCATTAGCTATAACAATAAAAAGTTAAACTGATTTTTTCTTAATCACCAAGCATTTTCAATTGAAAAATAACTATTGCTAAATTTTGAATGTTGTTATTAAAATGCATTGCTTTTATGTCTAAATATTTAGTATCATAAAAAAATCCGTAGAGTTTAGACTGTTATTTAGCATTTATCAAAATTATTTTCCATATACACTTGCTTTTCACATTTGCTTAGTGTGTTATGAATTTTAATTTTTTCATGTCATCATGTTATATCTTAAATTAATGTAGTTAAAATACATTTTTTATAGAATGTATTTTTGCCAATTTTTATGGAAGTTCTAACATTTTCGTGGCATGCTTTTCTAAGTCTTTTAGTTTTTGGTGTTAAATATATTTAAACAAAATTTGAGTCATTGTAAAGTGAGCATTCTGTCTTTTTATATTTCAGTTAACTATGTCGAATTTACCTGTTGGGGAAATGCATATATCATTCCATATTAGGAGGTAAAATGCTGTTACTTATTTTCTTTTCAAACTTAATTAATTCAATTCAGATTTGTGTGAATCAAAGAGTTTTTAGCTGTGATTAAAAATCCATTAAGCTGATGGATTTTAAAAACTCATTTTTTACATGCCCTTTTTAATTATTTATGCATTTATTTCCTAGTATTTTTTCTCCCCATAGAGTAGAGTTATTTAAATACTTCATTTAATGGTATCTGAGAGGCTCATGAAAATTCATAGTTTTTGCTGTTTTAATTACCACAGCTTACTTCAGGATTTTTTTTTTTTTTTTACTTTTAATATTTAATGCATGTAAAGCTTTTTAAAAGTGAGTTTTTCTAAGATGTTAATTATATTAATTTTTGTTTCAGTGATGGTTCTATTTTTGTTACATGTAAAGACTGTGCTTCCAAAGATGTAGGTTCAGCAACTGTTGTCCCTCCTCGTAATCAGGGCTGTACATAGCAGATTTTATGCTTCTTTAATATATTTATTTTTTAATAAACTTTTAAAAGTTATGTGTTTGTAATTTATTTATTTTTTTTTTTTTTTTGTCTTCTGTGTATGAGTAATAACGCTAGGGAAAAAAAGCTTATTTTTCAAACAAATCCTAATTTTTGTAAATAAATTTACCTTTTTTTTTACAATCTTAATTAAAATTTTATTATGTCTATTGCTTTTATTATGAATGAACTTCAATAATATGAGGCTGTAAACATTGTTTAGGGATTGTTCAGTAATAAATGAGACAGATTTTAATGCCACAAATGTGTTGCAGCTGCACAAACAGTCCTTAACAACAGAAATATTTTTCTAAGTGGTAATTTACTTTTATCTATAAAAAATGGCACACAGTTCGCTCTTCAGTTTGTATATGGCTCCTGAATATTATTCCCAGCTTTAATATCAGATAGCTCAATTAATTTGTGTCGTACAAGAGTCAAATTTTTTTGTATTTTATTTTTTATAACAAATACTTAATGTTCCTAAATATAAGTATAGGGATTGGAAAAATGTGCAAAAAGTTAGAGTTCATAGTTTTCACAAAATTTACTTCTTTATATTTAAAATGCTAAAAATGAATCTTTGCATCATTTAAAACATTTTATAACTAGGAGTATATATCTACTACCAACAGTTGCAAAAATAAAGGCCAGGTAAGAATATTTGTAGACACGGTATATGCATCTTGTTATATTTTGTGTAGTTAGTAATGTACCAACCAATGCCTGTGTGCATAGCGATTATTAATTCCACATTTTTTAAATCTTCATTTACAGAGTCTTGGCATAACGCTGCTGTGTAACGAAAGAGTTACTGCATATAAATTTTCAGAATTAAAGAAATATTCAGTTTTGCTGGTAGAAAAGAAGACAGCTAAAAATGCATAAATGCTCATATAGATCACAACAATTGCATAATGTATTCACAATCCAAGAAAATTGAGTTTGCTTGCTGCATTGCTGTACATTTGTTCTTATGCTTAACGGATATCGGGCCTCTTAAAGGGTCGAAAGAATTAATTACCTGTATTGCTAATTAACCACCTGGAGTCCTAAGTGTATTGAAAAATAAAACTTGTCGAAAAGAGGCAAGCAACACAATAGTATTACCTTAATTTGCATTCAAAAGCATCAAAACCTAGTTCCTTTAGAAGCTAAAAAATTCTGTGTAAATCCTCAATGTACTCTTCAATTGTGTCATTAGTAACTATTATGCCATTCAGGTATGTAAAAATTGATTTCACCAGAACTACCTTAAAACTATGTCCATGGCCTTCTGAAATATAGCAGGTGCACCTTATAAGCCAAATAGCATTCTCAAAAATGCATGAATCCCGATTTAGTAATACATTAGAATCTCAGTCATCCGACCTTTACTAATCTAACCGTCCATTTAATTCTACCTGGTCGATAGGGGGAAAAAATTCCATAAGAAATCACAAATTGTTGATTGTAAACAAGCCAAGCAGCATACTTATTATTGCGTAAATTTTGTTAACATGAGTCAATACATTGCAGTCAGCAATCTGCACCTGCTCAGTTCTTTGCAAAGAAGTTGACATTTTGTTTGTTCTCTGTTTCTGTAACAATGTTTGATTTACAATACAATATTTTTGCATTGTATTTGCATATACTGTTCTGTGGGGTTTTGTGATGGCTTCAAAGAGGGAAAAAGTGTGTGTCTCTATGGGAGAAAAACTGAAGGGCTTTGAACAGGTTGAGCAAAAATGAAATTCTGTTAAAAGTAGCACGATTATAAAGTAAGAAAAACAATCATAGGAAACTGGGGAAAAAAACCAAAAACTGAAAGTAAAATGATGTTCCAAGTGTAGTCCAAGTACTACCAGAGCGGTGTTCAAGCGAGCTTCTGAATGTAAACAAAAAACACCCCATCTGGTGACCGAAGCTTCAAAGCAGTGCTTCACGACTAATACCGGTTTGGCCACTCCTTCCTTTCTTACCTCCATGATTCTTCCCAAGGGGGAATCCCCCCTGCTCATTGAGTAACCTTGTTCAACTGGTTTAGTTGAAAGCTCTTTTTTATAGCACTGCAAAAAAAAAAAAAAAAAAAAAATGTATTTCTGCAAGTTATTTAATTTGAGTATCAAGTAAAATTAGGTTTTAAGAATTGATTTAAAAATGCAAAACAGTTCTTTTTAATATAAACTTATTATTTAGTTGGTGAGTTATTTTCTGGTCTATGTTATATTGTACAGTGTGTAAATGCTCAAAATTATTGCAATTCCGTGTAATTTTATTATCGTACGTCTTCTAAAAAATTGTGACAGAAATTTCAAAATCTGCCTTAAATTCAAACTGAATTTTTTTTATTTCAAGAAGTAATTTTTGAAATTGAATGTAATGTAATTTCTGGGTATTATTTTCATGCAAGGGACGAATTGATTTAATTTTAGAAGAACCAGCTTGTCCAATAACAGATTATGGATAATTAGATTTTGTAGGCATTCAGTTTTGTTTCTCCTAATTAAAAAAAATTATGACTAACTGTTACGAAAAAGTCGGTATATGCGTATTATTGCAACCACTTTAGTAGAAGTCGCCAAATTTTTAAAATGTGCCGAACTCTGGCAACTATGTTTATAACAGTTCTTAAGTCAAGAAACATCGCTATTTTCATACGAGTTCCTTTTAACGTATTCAAACGACGTTTATAGGCAAATCGCGATATTTTTTACCTTAAACTCAAATTAAAAATAAGTACTTGTGAAATTTGCTAGCAGTGTAAAAAAAAGGTAGCATTTCTGCAGGAATATAGTATTTTGCGACAAAATCGCTAAAGAGAATAATGGAAAGATGTGTTTGCGAAATAGCCAGTGCACGATAACAAATGTGTACAATTTTCTGATTTTCTTAAAGCGAAAACAATTTGATACGTACATGGAGAGAAGAAAAGTGAATAAAAAAAATAAATAAATAAAAAAGAAGAAGAAGGATTTTGCGAAATATGTAAGTATTATATTTTTGCATTTATCATATAATCCTTAAATCCATATTTAATAATTAAAATTTGCGTTTTAAATTGCTAAACATTGTTATCTTTTGATATTGTTACAAAATGTACACGCCCGGTGATGTTTTCCCCGCAAAGCAGTTTTAGGGTTGCCATAAAATAGCAAGTGAAGAAAGAGTTGCCGTATTTAGTGAGAAATCGCCCATTTGGCGATATTTGGCGACAAATTTGGCAATATACCATGGACGGATGAAGAACCTTCTGAACGAATTCTTACCAGTTTAGCCCAGAATCTTCTCGAACACAAGCCGAAAGCTATATAAACCCTGCTGGTCCGCAGTCAGTTGGAGTGTGTGCCTCATCGAGAGGGCGAGTGAGTGTGGGCCTTTTAGAGTGCGAGATAGTTGGTGTTTCGTCTAGCGCCATGTTTCCCAACGTGGGGCACACGCCCCACAAGGGGGCAAAGCGTCTGTTAAGGGGGCAATTCGAAAATGGACTCGTCCAGAGTTTAAGGGGACAAAGGATATTCTAAATATGTTTCATAAAGACAAAAGTTTTTTAAATTTCATTTTTTATTTCCCAAAATAAAGAAAAATGTCAGTAAAATGTAAGTAAAGTGATGTATACGTAAAAAAGTTTTAAATTGCAGTGCATTTTAAATATTTTATAAAGAATTCACTGTAGACATTTAATGCTTTTGAAGTCATTTAAATAACTGACACATTATGTATTCCAGACGTTTCTCGCACATTTCAGCCAACGAATTTATTTTATTTTTTACTGCAGGAATGGCAACCGGTATATATATTCTTCCTTGAGCGGCAATTGAATGGCAACAGCAGCTTTGCTTTCAGCTTTGAAAGAAATAAATTATATTTATCTTATATTTGTTTCTTTCAGCCCTTAGTGAAATGAGGAGTGCGAGCAAGAAAAATACGTTCGACGGTCTTCGGAGGCATATTTAAAATTTGCTTTCATACCCGGTCCATAAACGGTCAACTTTTGTCTTTTATGCCAATAATGCCTGACCAACGAATCAATGAAACTAGGTTGTCTTGAGGCACATTTGAAGGCGAAACATAATGCTGATATTAATTCAGATTCGAATTATTTTAACACTTTAAGGAAAATTTTTGGAAAACTCTTTTTTCAAAGTAATATTTCCTTAAAGTCTCTACTTACTGCTCATAATGCAACTGTTAATCGTGCTCTTGAGGCTATTTATCAAATTTCATTACTCATCGCTTAATCTAGGAAAAGCCGTACTATAGGGAAGAATTGAATCAAACCATCAATATCAGCATTTAACCCATTAACCGCCAAAACTACAAGGAATATTTATTTTCTTATGAAAATAATAACAAATATTAAATTAAGCATTTATAACGTAAATTTACATTTAAAATAAAAAAAATGCTCTTACCTGTGGAAAAAGCGAGTGTTGCGTTCGCGCAACGTCAGCGGAATAAGACTACGGATGTTTAGTGAGTAGGATTGTACTCGTGTGATGTTTATTTTGAGTGGAGCGCAGGATTACTACTTTTTAGTTGTGTAACGTTTTATAAATCTACAAATCACTTTACTTGTAATTAATTTAATATTAAAATATGCATTGTATTTCTTAACAAATACAGATTATTTCATTTGAAAGATTCAAGCATGAAAAGCTTGATTTCAATCATGATGTAAAGCTACATTGCATAATTTGCATCTATAAACAGTCTGGCTATGGTACTCTTTACAACAAAGTCTTTTGTTATCAACGGACTTTCAGATAAAATGTCTATCATCTCCATGCAATGGTTTTTGAATGCTGAATTTATCTTTAAACAGTCTGGCTATGGTACTCTTTACAACAAAGTCTTTTGTTATCAACGGACTTTTACGATACAGATGTCTATCATCTCCATGCAATGGTTTTTGAATGCTGAATTTACGAGGTCTTCCTGTTGTTGATCTATTTCTGGCTAATTCTACGCTCTCAATAGAAGTTTTCAAAAGGAATAATGCATTTTCGCGTCTGAAATCTAAAAGAGTATATTTC